ATCTATAGTATAAAAAATTAGGGTTAACACTCTTCAAAAAACACAACAGCAAGAAAAAAGAAGATTGGGTAAGTACTTTATTTCTTGTTTTTCATATTTATTTTTTATTATAAAAGTAACTAAAAGGTAAAAATAGGGATATCATTATGTTAGTTAAGGTTAGATTAAATAAAATAAATAATAATATAATAAAAAAATTTGCACAAGGCATGCACGCAAGCAGCTTGTGGGTAATGTAATTCGATAGCGTAACATGAGCTGCATGGCCCAACGAGTGATTTACAACTTATAATGGCACAGGCAGTAGTTAGACACTGTTCAAAGGACAATAAAACAATAAAATTTAATTATAAATAGATGTATTCTATTACTAACTTAGAGCTACTTAAAATAGACGAATGTAGTTTCAGGTTACAATCTGAAGTCATTCTAGAAAGAAAAAATGGGAATTTGGGTTTATTTCGATTTGTTTTTTGGTGGTCACAAGGTTGGTCGAATTTACCAATTTGATTTTGAGATAGGGTAGAGAAAATAACAGATAGATTTAAGATTTCTGAGATGAGGAAAAGTATTTTTAAGTTTAACATGAAAATTACTTTGGACACGGACTATTCAAAACAAATACCTAATATATTTGTGGACAATTCTTTATTTTATTTTATTAAAAATAATTCACTAACAAATATGATTTTTTGTATGTGTAAGACTTGTAATATGAACTAAAAGACTGCCAAATTTTGTGAAGATATACACACTATATTGATAGTTATAAGTATTAAATCTATAAAGACTTTAAACGAGTATAAAAGGTCACGTGATCGGTCTTGAGCCCATATTTGGAGAGTTAATAAAAACACTAGAAATGTGATGTCTAAATTTATTTTTAGAATGTTTGTAACAAGAGCAGAAATTAGAAAAACCTAACTAGCCATCACATACTAACTGACTTAAGTAGAAAACAAGTTAAGTTCTTTGAAGAGTCTGAGAAGTATGATACTCTTTTAAAGTGCCTTACACGCAGGTGAATTTTGCAGTGGTTGCAAATCATTTTAGTGAAACTTTTGTGGTGGCACAATCTGCACCTTTTCTTCAAAAAATGCTGGAAAGTGTTTCCCAGGTGAGAGTCGTTCATATGCATCTGCCAGAACTGGTGACTAGACACTTGACAAATGAGAAGGCCCTCCTCTACTTTCAACTAGTGATTACACAAAATATTCCACTAATTGTAAGCAAAAGTTCTGTTTGTACTTGCTCTTGTTAGTTACCTGTTTGAAATAATTAATAATAGGCAGATCAATAAGTATAAAGAAAAGCTTCTTATACCATTTCACAATTTTACATGGAATGGCATAATAGCTGAGAAATTGATCAATAAGATCAACCCCTCCTATGAATTTGTTGTAATCCATGATTACATGTGGCTTGCTAATCACTTTCATTAATGTGCATTGTAGAAAGAGCATAAATATCTTTTATCAGTCCACTTCACAGAAGTCATTGAGCCACAGCTGAAAAACTGCAAATCTCCCCTTATTAAGTTAACTGAAAACATATCTAAGAAGTTGGTACTACCCTTCCTACAAGTGCCACAAACCTAGTGCCAGGTGAAAACAACACATCAAACAATTTATAAAAGTTGTCAGTAAAGAAAGAGTGTCACCTTCCAAGATACTTTTCAATCAGAGTTGTTACAACTGTGTCTGATAAGCTCTTAGAAAGTACAGATTCCTTATTACCAGAGTATACTTTAAAATTTAGACAGTATCCAGTCACAGCTTCTGCCAGAATCTACAGTTTGATTTCCCAGTTGGTAGGCTTGTTAGGTAGATACTGTTTAAATAAAATTCTACCCTTTATTCCTAGCATTTGTTCATCAATAGATAGTTCCTTAGAAGAGTTATATTGAGCTGGAAGAGTTGTTAGCAGATGATTTAGCACAGGCCTGACTTTCAAGAACTTATCATGTTTAGTATTACTTCTAGATAGGAACTTTTCTCTGGAAAATATTTAAGAACATCATGGTAAATGAAGTGAAGGAGAGGTAGACCACTAATCTGCAAGAGATGGTAAGCAAGCTATGCCCATAGCAGTAGTTACACCAATAAATGCTAAAATTTCTTCAGGAGTAACATTATTATATTTTAGCATTCTCCTTTTCTTTCTGACATAGATGTTTAGGTGTTATCCTTGCTGGTGTGCAAATTTATTTGTTTCTTCAACAGTTTTGGTAACAATGTTGAGAGTAAAAAAGGATTGGGGAAAATCAAGAGGAGTCTGACATTTGTTATCTTGACGGGGAATAAGCTCTCCTCAGATGAAGTCCCTCAACAATTTGGGCTGTTCATCTTTGAAGACCTCCCATTGCCACTCTGTACTACAGGCCTGAGGTGCTTGTTGCGTCTTCTTGTCTCTGGTCATTTTGGAAGTGGATGTAGTAGTGATGGTGGGAGGACCAGTAATGGTATCCCCTGATTGTTGTGGGTGAGGTGGAGAGTCTTCTTCCCCTTAAGGTGGGTCAGACTTCTCCAACAGCAGTGAATTTGTAGAAGCTTTTTCAACTGGATCCACTTGAATTGATCTGATTATCTCCTTCTCTGACTTGAAGGAAAGAAACTCTTCAGAGGATGAGGAAGCAAAGCAATGTTTCATCCATAGAGCTCACTTTTTTCTTAAGTGAATTCATTTAGGCCATCCAGGAAAGTATCAGTATATATTATTAATATTCTGTTTACATAATTTATAAAGCAACATGATGTGCATATACAGTTGAACTATTGTATATATTTTCCTTGATGTGCTTAAACTTAAAAGTTCCAAGAAAACGTGCATCTAACAAATTTGAATAATATTTACAGTTGCTGTTTATTGATTGTTACACTCTAATAATTTATAGTATGTTAGAACAGCAGTGCACATAGTATAAACATACTGTCTTAAACATAAATTGTAGTAAATAGTAATCCTAAATTCCATAATGTTTATATGCTTAAACGGATAACAATAACGTGTTGCAAAGTGCAGCATGTTACGTAGCCCTCGTTATACTTCGTTCCAAAAATAAAATGAGTCAAAAAAGTTCTTTAAACTTGATAAGAAATTTGAGAAAACTATGCTGTTTGAGAAAAATAAAATATTTGACATTTGACTTGTTTTGAATCTATTATTTTAAAACAAGTAGATTGCTTGTTGTACGTTTATTGTTTGAATTTATCACCAACAAGTCACAGACACCTGCTGTAAAATAATCCCAGCCCATATAAGAAACCTGACATTTGGTGAGCCAGCCAGGATTATTCAGTGGCAAATGGCAGTAGAAATCTGTGAGCATCTTGGGCTCAAAGATGGCGAACTACGAGAGTTTGTTAAACAAGAAGAACTAGTGAGAAGAGAAAAGAGGAAGAAAGACTAAAGGTAGAAAGAGAGGAAGAAGAAAAGGAGAGACTCGACATAGAGAGAATAAGAGCACAAATTGAAAAAGAGAGAGAGGAGAGACTGCAAATAGAGAGAATAAAAACACAAATTGAGAAAAAAGAAAAGGAGAAAGAAGCGAGACTGAAAATACAGAGAATAAGAGCACAAACTGAGATCACCAAGCTCACCCAACAGAAAGAAGAATTATTCAATAATGACAATGGGGTCCGTGTCAGCCGACCTAAGCTTCACAAATTTGATGAATGGAAAAAGACAACATGGATGCTTTCCTGAAGAGATTTGAAAGATTTGCCCAAAATCAGAACTGGGACAAAGGTGACTGGGCAGTCTGTCTCAGCCCACTTCTCACAGGAAAAGGCCTACAAGTCTATGGAGGCATGATGTCAGAAGATGCCATGGACTATGACAAGTTGAAAGTGGCCTTGCTGAAACACTATGAATTTACTGAAGGAGGTTTTTATCAGAAGTTCAGAGAAGTCAAACTTGATGCTGAGGAAACTGTATTTCAGTTTGTGGCATGTCTACTGTTATGTATCTGCTTGTTTGTTAATTTCTGGTAGAAATTCTTTCCGAAGAACTTCAGCGATACAAGTCCTCTTTTGATTAAACCAGTTTATTCTTCCTCGATACAAACTTTTAATACACAGTAATTCCACAGTCAATACATTTCTCATCACTTTAAATAAACTTAACTACTTTTATAACACGCTATAAATCACAGCGATTAACAATCTCGAAAACACACACTAGCTCAAAACAGAATCGTAAATTACCTGGAACTCTTTTTATTCAAATTCCGCAGGCTTTCTCTGCCAGGCTTATATACTAAAAAAGAGGGCGTCCAGCACAAACAAAGTCTTACCTGATAATTCATGATCAATCGAGAAATTCATCACGTGTTACCAACATCACGTGACTTCCGTTGTCATAACACTACCCATTCCTTAGTATTGTTCATCCCAAACAATAGATACTTACATTAAACCAATAG